TAAAAATATAAAAATAATTTTTTTTTAAATAAAAGAGTATATTTCATTTGCAGATAAAAAAATCATTATGATCATTTACAGTTCCTTAAGCAAAAGATGTATACATGTATGATCTTCCACAGTAAAAATCTCTAATGGTTTAATATAATAAAAATATTACTGTCAATGGGAAGTTTAAAAATTCAAGTAACATTGTATTTAATCAATGTTTATGTATATGGTTATTTATGAGAATGTGTGAGTGAACCATGAGAATGAAATGAAACCCATAAAATTTTAATAAACATTATTTTCCTCCTGAAATTAGGCATGCTATTCAAAAAGACAATGAACTACCATTAGCCCATGATTGTCCTAGATTTTTACTTTGGTTTCACTACTTAAAAATACACATCATAAAAATGTAGCCTATTGTTAAGGCTTTATTTGGGTCATATCCATAATTAAATTGTGATTAGTGTGCTTGTCATTTGAGATCATTTTTATAAACTTACACGTGTGCATGTCGATTGAATGACTGGTGTCTCCCTAACCATTGTCAAATAAAACACAAATGTGAAAGATCACTCACTGTTAAATCCAGATGTCAAAATAAGCTACTGTAATTTCCCATGTATAATACGCATGTTTTTCTAAAAAATAATAAGCAAAATTAGGTGTGCGTATTATGCACTTTTCCAAAAAAAATCTTTAAAAAATTGCTGTTTCGTAGGTTGATTTCAGTTGTGAAATGGCTACTCACCATAAACATACAACAATTTGACACTAATATTCGGCGATTGTGACCCCATAGGGATGTCAAATACAATCATATGTACCTAACAATACTTACAAATGTAAAATAAAATAAGAATTATCATAAAACTAAATTAGAATAATAATTTTTAAAAATAAAAGTTGTAAATGCTGGCAGTAATGAAATTGGAGAGCTACAATTTATAGGGTTTCATTACCAAACAAGGGGTGCATATTATGTGTGAGTAAAAGTATTTTCCCACACTTTTTCCACAATTTTAGAGGTGCATATTATGGATGAAGGCGTGTTATACATGCAGGATTACGGTAAGTGTCCAAATCATCTTTAAGTTGAAGTAGAAGATTTTAAAAATTTTGACAGCACAAAATATAAGCAATCAACTCAGAAATTATATTACAAGGAGGCAATAATATTTATACCTGAAATTAAGCTCAAATCTCCAAATGGGAATGGGGCAGGGAAACAGGTGTTATTAAATAATATATTCAATTAATAGTAATTTGCTTGCAAATACTGAAAAAGAATTTAACACTTTCCTGACTTATATCCAATAACGAACCATTTTTTTCTTATGATGAATAATCATTCCATAATTTTGAGGATAAATGATGCTATACAATTTTTGAACAGCTCTTGCTGTAGGTGAATCTGCATAATGTTAAAATCTTGAACCAAAAGATGCAATGTTTTAGTAGGATTTTCTTGATACAGCATTTGTCTTTTGAAATTTTCATCTGTAATGATTTCTAGAATATTTCCCAGCATTGAAAAATGCATCATTTTCTCCAAGACAAACAAGATATGCTGGCTGGTATATCAATAAATAAATGATTTCAAATCAGAAAATAAAGATGTTATTACTGATTGAAACTTTATTGTTTTAGTATTTTCATGGATAAAACATATAACTTTTGTTATGTCATCAGTGTTTGAATTATAATATTTGATACCATCTCATATATATTACAAGATGAGACATCTTCCCCTATATTTATGAGGAATGTTAAAATTATCATTAACTTTAGACACAGCACATTTTTGGTTAAAAGGGCTGCCACTTCATGCAAAGCAATCAAGGATTTTTCCCGCCTAAAATAAAATTGAGTATGTATGAATGAATTTATCATGTTGAAATTATTATGTATATAACGATGTTAACTTTTAGCCCAACTTTTAGTCTGTTTCATGTAACCTTGAATATTTTATGATCAATAATATTTATACTGACAGAAAACATACAAGCTTTGAATTGTTTTTTAGTAAGTACATATGACTAAACCAGTTCCTCCACCAGGCTTTTCTGGTGAGAAAGGCAGCTAGATACTCAGCAGTATTAAAGACAAGACCTATCAAAGGTGGGGATCTTCTTGTAGGGTCAATGGCTATTTAGCACAATGAGCTAGAGTGGGTTCCATAGCTATGGATGCAGCCAGTGCAGTAATGACACAGCATCACTGGACAAAAGGCTTACTAGAATGAAGTTGGGGGACATGCAATGTCAATTGTCATCTTCTGCCTCCTTGAATCCAGTTCCATCATTGTTCTGTTAATGCTCAATTAGTTAATTGTGCCTGCCACAAGGTAATCCTCCTGTTACTCTGAATATTGACAACTGAACAAATGAAATTTTCAATATGGCTGCCAGTATTTTATAGAAGCCACCACATGGTGGCACTAAACAACAACCAAAAGACAAGGGCAATAACTACAACATTAACAGTCTCCTCCATTTCTTTTACACACATTAACTCCTTATATCCTAGTGGCTTTTATTGCCTTGCTTGGAGTGGATTGATTAAGAAGAAAAACAGCTGTGGTTTGACCTGAATAGGGATGGGCTCCGCCAGGTCTACCTGCTTGATACAAGTTGCACATAAATGAATACCTCTCCAGCTTTCAATCCAGATGTGTGGAAGAAACTGGTTAGGTGCTCAACTGTGCAGCAACCCTATGACCACACCCAGTCATGGGATTGGTGATGATGATTTATACACTCTTGTAAAATCTTGCACCATAAGAAGTTATATTTTTGGTTGACATGTCTAAATTTAGAATTAATCTGATACTTTCATCTCTGCAAGGAATTATGAAATAGTTTCTGTTTGGTTCATAGATCTTGAAATGGCAGTGAAATCTGTTTTTTGCTGTTTTCGTAAAACCAAATGAATAGATTGAAGAGAAATCATTTTAGTCATGTTGGGTTGATTTGCTTTGTTGTGGGACTGACATTTTCTAGCAATGACTACAAAATGTATGTAAAACACACACGCACATATACATATTATATTTTCTGATATTGAAAGTGATTTTCTTTTTTTAGTTCAAATAAACTTTTGAAAATCTATCCTTCATCTTTTGATCTTGAATATTTCTTTCTTTATAGATGTTCACCTAATAATAGAGAAAACAGTTTGGTATGAGATGGTGATTTGAGATCCTGTCTATGGTCACAAAATGAATTGTATCAATTAACATTTGATATAATAAATCAAATAATAATAATAATTCTTGTTCTTTTATTCTTTTCTCTCCTTAATAGAGTTTTTTCTCATATTCTCTAACATTCAGTAGCCTCCTTGCATCTTAGTGGCTTTATTACCTTGATGGTGGTGAAATTATTAAAAATAATAATAATAATCACAAATATTTTTGGTATTTCAGTCACATCAGCAGGATAAACAAATCATTTGGACCAAAAGATTAATTTTTTTTTTGTTTAAATAATTTGATATAGTTTTAAGATTTAATTAAACAAATCATTTCAATTTATTTAAATAATTTCATAAATTTTTTTTTCCTGCTCTGCTCAACTGATTTGTTGTAATGTGAAATGTCATATGATAACAATGGTTACTATGAATGCTGCAGGAAATAAAATGGCTGGAGAGAGTAAATACCATGTTAGTGGTGTGGGCTGGGCTGGGGACACACAGACAAAATTTAGCCTTACATGAATTTATAAAAGATGAAGAATTTTCAACCATTATTAATTTTTGACTAGTATTTTTCTTTATTCTAATTTTAGTAAGGCTGTCAATATATAAAAGTAATTTAACAATACAAGATCAGAAATAGACGCTAAATTCCCAAACTCCCATTCCTTTTGCCACAAGGAAACCGGGTTTGAAAACCAGCCACTTTTACTAAATGAGCTATGAGAACTCAACAGTTTGGCTGAAGATCAAATCTCATCTTTAATGCCATTCTTTGTGGGTCATTTTGATAAGAGCAGCTGATGCATTTAAACAGTTTTTTTTTGGTCCCAAAAAAGAAAAGAGTTTGAGTTCCACAAAGAGTTTAGCATTTATTTCTGCCTGTCCCAAAGGTTTCATTTTCTTTTGAGTAGCACTACCCAGTCTGACAAGAATAATACTATTTTGTGTAGCAAAAACTTGCCCTTGAAGTACTGTTTAACAGTTAGTGACCTCTGCATTTTCTTCTTTCCAAAGAGAAACTATGAAAGGTTAAAAAAAGCATTCAAATTAGTGAGAAATATAACTAAACCAAGATGGCTGCTGTTGGTTGCTTGTTTTGGTATTATTCTGCCTTTTGCCACAAAATGGTTTGAGAGTGCTCATTTTATTTAGATACTGGTATTAGTCTTATTGGAATTAATAAAATTTAATTTTGTTTTTACTATCATAGATACACCAAAAGCCAATGTACTGATATTAACAGAGAGCTATGCCCACGACATGGGTATTTGTAGTTGGAATAAGAGTGTTCTTGAAATAGGACTCAAGATAAATCTTTCCAAAACATAACTATGATCTGGAATTGGGATGAAAGCAGTGATGGAACCTACCATGAATCCATCATAAAAATTCAGGGTGTAGAATTAGTTTAATACTAAATACTTCAGATACCTCAGTGTATGGATCTTTTGTATAAAAATTAGCATGATTACTTTGTTTGTACATCTGATTTAAGTAGCAATAGATCTTAGGAACAGGTACACTTTTAACACTCACAAATATGGCATTTATGAAAATACATTTAGTGTTTGATGAAATTCTGAAGACATTTTCTGTCTTCTCATTTGCCCCAAATTTGCTTCTGTATGCATAAATGGGGTCCTTTCATAAGGCAGTTAATATTAAATGTTCAGATACTGTTGTAATTGGTCTTGACTAATACTTACTGAACCTCAGGGAGATATGAAGATAGATCAGGAACAGGGACAAGAAAAGGTAGAAAAATTGATAGATATAAAGGGACTAAGATAATGTACTGAGATAGAGAGCTAGGTACGTAGATAGATATGGACATGTGAAGATAGATATGGACATGTAAAGATATATAGAAAGATATGGATAAGTGAAGATAGATAAGAAGATATGGATATGTGAAGGTAGGTAGATATGAATACATGAAGATAGATATGGACACATGAAGATAGGTAGATATGGACACTTGAAGATAGGTAGATAGATATGGACATGTGAAAATAGGGCGATATGGTCATGTGAAGATAGGTAGATAGATATGGATATGTGAAGATAGGCACATAGATATGGTCACATGAATATAGATAGATATGGACACATGAAGATAGGTAGATAGATATGGACACTTGAAGATAGGTAGATATGGACACATGAAAGGTAGATAAGGTCACATGAAGATAGGTAGATAGATATGGACATGTGAAGATAGATAGATATGAACAGAAAATAATAGATACAAAGAGTGAAATAGCTGTGAAAGGGTTAAAGAGATAGAGTGAGATGGACAGAGAGAGAGAGAGAGAGAGAGAGAGACAGATCTGAAAAGAGCTAGAGAGAGAGCGTGACAGATGTGAACAGAGAAAGACAGGTATTAAAAGAGAGAGAGAGACAGAGACAGATATGAACACAGAAAGAGAGAGAGACAGATATGAACAGAGATAGAAAGAGAGTGAAACAGATATGAAAGGATTAAAAAAGATGGACATATATAAACTGATGACAAAAATGGAGAGATTAAGATCAAGCAACATTTTATATCAATAAAGCAGAAAGTTTCTTTTGCAATACGGTCATCAAAACTTTGTAGACCAAAAGTCCCAGTTTGTATTTGTTTGAGATGACCAAAAATTGGACACAAAATGGATTAGTTAGATTTACAGTTGATTCAAAACTACTAAGACTACTACTTTTAATACTATTACAACTACTAGTAACATTTTTATTTAGTCATTTCTGTGTTCTTATCAGATGAAAAAATATTACAGTTATTTTGTTACATGTTAATATTAAAATTATATAATATAACATGTTTTTATAAATAAGAACATTTGATATACAGACCAAGTTCAAAATCTCTCGGTAAATTTTATATTTCTTTCGGTAGCACTCTCTGGAGACAATCATGTTAACTGATTTTTTTTTATTGCCTTAAGTGAAGTCACAAAAAATATTTACCATTTTTCAAGAGCTGTTCATTCTAATGCATTATAGGAGAATTTCTAAAGCTTTGGACCTTGGACAAAATGGAATCCTGACATGCTTTGCATTTAAAGGAATTTCTGAATTATATATTTAGTAGATTATAGATGAAATGCAGATTGCGCAAGGCATGGCTTCCTCAAAGTTCAGATTTGATGTCTTTTGATAATTTGATTTGGGATAGGACAGATTTGGTTATGAAAGATGAAGGAATTTAAAACAGCCATAAAAGATCATGCCCTTGAATTTCAGCAGTTCATCAAGAAGTGGATGTTTCTCATCATTTTTGGGGTGCTGTCATGATGAGTAATTCCATTATATGGTAACCATCAGGGTAGTGGGGATTACTTGCCAGTATTCATTTAATCTACAAAAACATATGACAAATTGTACTGGGTTACATCATACCAGCAGCAGAGAATGAAAAGTGTCCAAGATGGATAGTCTTTACAAGACGAAAGAGGTTCCAACTGCTCTCCTGTTTAGATGGGGAACAGAAGTGAATTAATACCTAGTCTAAAGGTATGAGTACAAAGGTGTTTGTAAACTGCCCCAGCCAGTATTTTAACTTGTTTTGCTGATTTCATTTGCTGTGCTGTTAACTATTTGAGCATCTGCATCTCCTGCATGGAAGAAAGTGTTTTTTAAAAAAAGAAAGAAAGGGGAAAAAATAAATAAATAAAAGTAAAATTCTGTGCAAACATTTAAAAAAACATTGTACCCAACAACTTTGTACTAACCTTGTTTATATTAGGTGCGTGCAAAATTTTTTAGCATTTTTATTAAAAATAAAATACATTTTTGATCTTTGTATTCGGTTTCTCAAGTGTTGGTAGCCTCACAGTTATCAGCGCAGAAAATGAAGTCAGCAAGCAAGGTTCAAATTCTGGCTGGGGCAGTTTGTGTTCACTTTACACTGATACCCTTGAGAAAGGCAAAAATACATCTCTTCTCTCACCAGCTATGTGTAAAATAGTAGGGCAGACTGGGCCTTCTAGTCTTACTTGGTAACCAGTCTAAGAAAAAGAAAACCACTCAGAAAAAATGACTTCACTCTCTTTCCAAACAACAATGATGGTAATGTACATTTTACATATAAAAAAGAAGCTGTGGAGAGCCATGATAACCTACATTCTGAATAGACATGCCTGATTGTTAAAAAATAAATAAGTCCCTAGTTTTCAAAAAAGAGGGTGCTGAGGACTTTGGCACACATCTATTAATTATGATATCATTTGTTGAAGGAATAATTTCTGACACTCCATCTCTGCAGAATTTTTTTTATTTTTAATCAATTCAACTCAAGCAAGGTGATAATGCCACTAAGGCACAAGGGGCTATTGGGAGTGAAAGAGAAGAAAAGACTTTAGAAGGAACTAGAAACCCAATCCCAAGCTGGGAACAAGGGATAAGCCTCTACCCCTGTTCAAAAGACCAGGGTGGAGTGTAATCCGGATGATAGACAAACATATCTACTCCTACTGAGGCGAAAAAATAAATAATTAGTTAACAAAATTTCACAGTTCAAGTGGAGATGTTAGAGGTATTGAGTTGAAGTATACTTTAGCATGAACTGTAAACTTTATCCTAAACAGGAAACAAGGGATAAACCCCTGTTTAGAATAGATACCCCAGAGTTGATTTGATCACTTGTGACACCTTTCATTGCTTTAATAGAATTTGGGGTTTGGTAATGTTTCAAGCCATTGACATTATAAAAACTTTCTTCTGTCCTAGCAGGGAGTATATGTCTATACTTATAAAATCCATGATGCTCAATTCTAATGAATACCTTAATAAGTATATATTTTTTTGGTACACAGAATAATATTAACCCATGGTTTGAAATTATTGTTTATATTATTTGAATTAGAGTTGCTGACTTTTATTTTGGGGTCTAAGCATATGAACAATATTCACTTAAAATTGGAAATAACTTGTATAACATAATTAAAATGTAATTATGCAAATTAGTTAATCTTAATTGATTAATGAAATAAAATATTAATGAAATTTTATAAATTTAATTAAGCACTTGGAACTGCTATTTTTTTTAATGGAATCATATACTGCAGGTGAAATAACTCATCAGTTACTTGATAACAATTATTATATCAACTATCGTATACATTTATAAGCCAACTATTCAACCATGTATTAAATATGGTTGTCATATCTGGTTTGGTGTTTCTGTTATATAGAGATACTTGATAAAATACAATGAAGAATCTTGGTACCTAGATTAAACAAATTTAAATGCAATGTCAATTTTTATCTTCTGTTTTCTTAATTCCTATTCTTTTATTGTTCTCTCTCACCTTAATAATGTTTTCTTTTTATGACTTGGCATCTCAGCTTCAGTCACTTTCCACATGACTGCCATCAGTTTGCCATAACACAGCTTCCCTGTACCTTTTCTATAAATACTTTCATGGTAATTGTTCTGGTGAGACTTGCCTTCCTCTATTGTACATATTGGAATTACTTAGGACTTCATAGAGATTTTGGTGTATTATGGTGGCTGTAGTAAGAATGTATTGTTTTGGTGTAAGGAATACAGGGGTATATTTGAGTCAGTATCAACTGTTCAACTGAGAAATTGGAGATTCGAGATTAAATTCCAGTCAAATCCATTACATTCATTTATGTGCTAATACCCTTGGGAAAGGTATGAATCCTCTTCTTCTCCACCCCAGCTATGGGTAAATAGCAGGACAGACCGGGTTCTATAGCCTTGGATGGCAACTGGTCTACCGCAGAAAGAAATGGCAACCTACCGCGGAAAAAAATCTGCCTTGTCAATCATGTATCAAAAGATATATGATTGCCTAAGCATGTATCATGTATGGCACATAACTGAATTATGGCTAGCTAAGTTTAAGATAAGACAGATTGAAGACTGGCCTTACCCCTTTTGGCCTTGTGCCAGATTTTTGTATTATGCAAAATAAATATTACTTTCCTCTATGGTATCTAAATTTTATGAATTTAAGTACAATACTAGATTGGCAGCTAGGTCTCATCATCTTATAGTTGAAGTGGTTAGATGTAACCATAAGTTCTATGCTAACAGTTTCTTCTCTCGCACTTGTAGAACTCTCTTCTGCCATCTTGCTTCCCAGTCAACTTTGATCATCAAAAATCTAAAAGCAATGTCAATCATTATCTTCTGTTTTCATAATTCCTGTTCTTTTATTGTTCTTTGTCCTTAATAACATTTTCTTTTTCTCATATTCTCTCACACTCAATAACTCCTCGTGTTTTAGTGGCTTTATTGCCTTGCTTAGAGTGAAATGATTAAAAAAAATAACCTGTTTTCATTGTCTTGAATTATTATCTGATTTGCTACTGGAGTCAGGAGACAGAACAAGGAAATTTTTTATAAGATATCTTGTTAGCCACTCTCAAGTCATAGATATCCATTTAGATCCTTTGAAAGTTAAACATATACAGTATTACTATATATATATATATATATATATATATATATATATATATATATATATATATATATATATATATACCCCCTCGATATCAATATATAACTTCCATTAAGTTAACCGTTTAAATGTGTCAATGTCTGGACCTCAAGTAATTTTAAGTATAAAAGAATAGAAATTTTAAATTACATCTAACTCACTCATGTCTTCTCTCTCCCCACTCACTTCCTCACTTTGTTAATTTACATATACTTAATATGGCCTGTCAAAAATGTGTAAATTTCTTTTCATTTTTTGTTTCAACATTTGGAATTAAAGTCTGATGATCCACAGTCGTTTAAAAGAGCTGTGGTGAAATGATTTATTATATGGAACCTTAAAGTGGTCTGTTTTTATTCAAATTATTTGCTCTGGAATTACATTGAGCTCTCTGGATTTTATCCTCCTTGGGTTTACCCATATGGATTAACTAGTTTTTCATAAACTAAATATATATATATATATATATATATTTCTAAATGTGAAGGTAAACAGCATAGAAAGTGGAATCGGCAAGCTGAGTTCAAATTTCTGCAGAATCTGATGTGTTCACTTTTACACTAATAGCCTTGGGAAAGGTATGAATCCATCTCCTCCCCCACCAGCTATTGGTTAAATAGCTATGGTGTCTAGTTTTGGTTGACAGTCAGTCTAGGAGGGCATCATCTCTGAATTCAAAACCACAGAGAAGGCCACAGAAACCATTCCACTCTTCCTCAAGAAATCAGCAATTTACAGATAATAAAGAAAAGGAAGCTGTGGAGATTCATGCTCATCTACATTCTGAAGAGATATAACAGTAATTTTTCTTTTTTGCTTTTACTATATTCTGCGTGGTTATTTGTACATGAATATTAACAAACAAAAATGAATTCAGTTTTGTGATAAATAAAAAACTTGTAAAATAATAAAAAACATTTACCCTCTGTCACCAAGGGTATTATTGATTAAGGTGTGGTAGATAATATTACCTTAACCCCGATGAATTGTGATACTTTTATGCCATATTACATTGTTATATGTTGTCA